ATTCATTAGGTTATATTTACGAAGTTTTGAGAGATAAGTATATTTTTTATATACCCCATTGTAAAGACTAGGGAATATACTTCCAAACACAAGTTACATCAAGTTCAAACAATGGTTACTCCAAAAGTTATCTGATTTAGTAGATGGTTACTCAAAAAAACCTAACATTTATCTATATTTCAGGATCGATATTCGTTAGGCTATATCTACGAAATTTTGAGAGATAAATATATATGTTATGTACACCACTGTAAAGGTTAGGGCCTATACTTCTCACTATACAGTTATATCAATTCGTTACAATGGTTACTTCAAAAATTACCTGCTGTAGAAAATGGTTACTCAGAAAATTTAACATTTCCCAAAATTTCACCATCTATATTTTTTAGGGGGGGGGGGGGGGGGGGGGGGGGGGGGGGGGGAGGGTAGACAATCATCGATATATAGATGTTAATTCAAGATCCTAAGAAAATTATTTTCGAAAATGTGACCCATAGAACATGGTTACTCAAAAATAGGTAAAATTTTGGCAACTACTACTCCTTTCTTAATTCGGCAATATCTTGGGAATTTTGGGAGCTAAGTCTAAAAAAGTGACGTTCATGTAAAGGGTAGACTTTCATCTATCCACAAGAATCAATTCAAATGTCTAGAAGAATTATTTTCGAAAATGTGGCCCAGAGGACATGGTTACTGCAACATAAGTAACATTTGGTAAATTGCTACATCTGCTCTATTTTGGCCATAACTCGGGTATTTTTGGAGCTACACCCTAAAAAAAACTAATATCAGTGTAAAGGGGAGACTTTCATCTATCTATGTAGGTTAATTCAATATCCTAAAACAATTATTTTCGAAAATATGGTCCAGAGGACATGTTTACTCAAAAATAGGGCATATTTGGTAAATTACTGCATCTTTCTTAATTCAGCTATATATTGGGTATTTTGGGAGCTAAATCTATAAATGTGACATCATTACAAAGGGGTGACCTTCATCTATCTAAAAATGTTAATTCAAAGGCCTAAAACAATTATCTTCGAAAATATAGCCCATAGAACATGGTTACTTAAAAATAAGATAAAATAGGCAAATGATTACCACTTTATTGATTTGGTCATATTGTGGGTATTTTGGGAGCTAGAGCCAAAAAAGAGACATCAGCGTGAAGAGAAGGCTATCATATATCCACAAGAGTCAACTCAAAGGTCCAGAAAAATTATTTTTCGAAAATGTGGCCCTTGGGACATGGTTACTTAAAAATAAGATAAAATAGGCAAATACCTACATCTTTCTTAATCTGGCCATATCGTGGGTTCTTTGGGAGCTATAGCTATAAAAGTGGCATCAATGTTAAGAGAAGACTATAATCGTTGTAAAGGGGAGACTTTATTTATTTTACACTAACAGCCTGTTCCACGATATCGAAAGAACACGTTCGCACAACTTTTACACGACAAACAGCTGATTTCCGTTCCACTAAAATCCATCAGAACGAAAATCAATGCGAACGAAAACGTAAGCGTTTCAGTGTAATTTTGCGTTCCACTATCTTTTTTCTTTCGTACGCATGCGAACACAAATGTCAAAATCAGTCACTTGTGTGTTTGCTGTCGTACGATAACAATTAAGGAAAATCTGTTTTAAAACATAAACATTGCTTAATTGAAAATGGAAACAAAAATGTAAGTAAAAATAATAAATCCAATTTATTATGGGAACAATAAATAATTTTTTTATTTTCTCAATTCCAGCACGAAAAAATCATCAACTACACAGCTGCGGGCACTAGTTGAGTATATGGAGGAGAATCCCGAGTTTGCCAGAGGAGTGCCAATTTTTGGAAGCAGCAGGCAATCCCTGGAGGACCACTGGAAGAAGTTAGTTTTTAAATTAAATACCATGGGTCCTCCTTCCCGCACAATTGCAGAGTGGAAAAAGGTAAGTCAGAAAACTCGGCTTACGATCTATTTGTCTGACCGGCATTACTATTTACAGACGTGGGCCGATCTAAAGTCCCGCACCAAAAAGAAAATTGCGGAAAATAAAAAAGGGCTGCAAGGTACAGGGGGTGGTTTATACCGGTTTGAGTGCCTAACGGAGCTGGAAACAGCAATTGACCGGACACTCTTCTTGTCGAAGTCCGCAGCACCAAGTGGTAAAACTTTTGGCTACGCGGACGAAATAGATTACTGCTTCGAGGCATTGGATACCACCCCATCAAGACCATCCAAGGCCGTAGCAGTGGTAACACCTACCAGGCAGTTCAGTTCCCCAGAATCACATACCCAACAACAACAAATAAACGTAAAAACCTGTACCATCACAACTCAACAATATGCAAAACAACAGGCACAGTCAGCACACACACAACAAACTCAGACACAGTCAGCACACACACAACAAACACAGACCCAACAGCAACACCAACGTAAACAAACAACGTCCCCTCGTCAACACATGGAACATCAAACCGTGCAGAAATCACCCCCATTCAAATGCACATCACAACATAATTTTCCATCCACATCATCAGCAAAAAAACGTTCCAACGTCGGAGAGCAAAAACCTCTTATCCGTCGGCAATTGCGGCTGGTCGAGCAGGCAAATGCAATAGCCAAGGAGCAAGCAGATGCAAGCAAAAGGATGGCTGACGCTGCAGAGAGAATGGCAGATTGTGCCGAGGCCCAAACAAAAATGCTTAAGTCTATAGAAGCAATTCTATCAACTTTTTTGCAAAACAATTCACAAAACAATTAACTATAGTCCTTTTATAATAATTTAAACTAATTTTTTAATTTTTAATTTAATTTATTTTATTTTAATAAAAAATTCTTTTAATTTTACAAATTTATTGCAATTTTTCTCCTTATTGCGTCAGCTCTGCTTTCAAGATCATTATTGTCATCCACTTCGTCTTCCAGATCATCATCAATAACATCACCTGGCGGCTCTTCAGATCGGTAGTGCATGCATTTATAATTTGCACTACCTTTGCAGCGTCATTTATAATTTGCACTACCTTTGCAGCGTCATAATGAAGGCCCCGAGATCCGATGATACATCGGAATCTGTTTTTTAGGACCCCAAAGCACCTTTCAATGACGTTACGCGCACTAGCATGTCTCTTATTGAATTTTTTCTCGGCGACATCTCTAGGGCTGCGGTAAGGCGTCATAAGAAAGGGCTTCAATTTGTATCCTCCATCCCCTATAAAAAAGAAAACACAAATGTAATTGATGTATTATGATATAAGATGTATACAAATTACTCACCGAGAATCCAAAAGTTTCGTTTTCCATTGTCAAACTCCCTTTGCATACACTTGTCTGGATCACTCCTTTCCCATACAAATGCATCATGGTTGCTTCCGGGATGTCTAGCGTCGACAAATGTTATACGCATTTTATGGTCACATATCTAATTCGAAAAAACACAATAATTTTAAAATCGCTTTACGATAAATGTATTTACTTACCACCATTGCATTTATACTATAATAACCCTTTCTATTATAGTAAAGGGCTTTCAATTCGTCCCCTGGTGACTTGATGCGGATATGCGTGCCATCAACGCATCCAACAATTCCAGGGAACATTGTTCTTTCATAGAAAGCCTCCATTGTGTTGCGTTCCTCTGTAAGTGTCGGCTTTTTTATCCATTGGCCGCAAATGTGGTCCTCAAAAATCTGCAGACATTCCGCAATGGTTCTGCTCACTGTCGACTTCGCTGTTGAAGTCAAGGCTTCGTTCCCTAGATTCTGTTGGTAGCTTCCTGTTGCCAAAAACCGCAAGAATGTGCCAAGTTTTAAATCGGGGCGGATTTGGGTAGTTCTGCAACCGGCCACCCACTTCTCTTCCATCATATCCAAAAGAGCCCGAAAAACTTCCTTCGACACACGAAAATTGGCCACAAACCTAGAAAAAATCATTTTTTATTATTTCAAAAATGTAAAAATACAATCATACTTACTGGTTGTTAGGTACTTCAAATAAATTCGAAGCATCTCTTAAATGCCTCCGTGGCACATTTTGTACCTCCTCCTCATCATCCATAAAAAACAGGGCCACAGAAATATTCATTTTTTTCTTTTTTAAGAACACAAATAATCTGAACACAATCACTAGAAATTTTATTTTGTTTGTTTATTTACAATTTGTTTGTTTACAACTGAACTGTCAGTTGAGACAGAGCCACTGCTGCTTTTTCGCGTTTAAATTAGACATTTGGCGCTTTTTTTTGCCTTATTTCGCGATTAATTTTGCCAAAAAATATTTTGCAACACTGAATCACGTAAGGCTATGCGAAAGAAAGAACGAAAGTTAGTGGAACGCATTCTTATGCGAAAGTGAGTGAGTAGCCTTCGTTCGCACAAATTTTCTTTCGAGATCGTGGAACAGGCTGTAAGTTATTCAAAAGCCTATATATAATTAATACGAAGTTATGGGTCACAGGACATAGTTACTTAATAATGGGTAAAATTTGGAAAATTTTCACTTCTAACTTAATTTGGCCATAGGTTGGATATTTTGAGAGCCTTTTAAATTTAAGTTGCATCAATATGAATAAGACACTTTCTTCTCGTTATATATATGCAAATTTAAAAACCTATAACCATGAACACCGAACTTATAGGCAACGGGACATGATTACATAAAATGCTGATAAATATGGTGTATTTTTAGAACTCTTATTCTTCTGACCATATCTTAGCTATTTTTGAAGCTAGATCAATGTAAACTACATCAGAGAACTGGAGAAACTTTAGTCCTTCTATGTAAACCATATAATTGGTCCAACGGTCCTGACATAAAGGGTTATATGCCCCATGGAATTAAAAACTTCATATCCCTTTAAACATATCTACAATTTATTTAATATTTATTTTAATTTTTTTTTTTAAGGAACATTATATCTTATAAAATTTATATATTTACAAAAAAAAAAATCACATTTTGTTTCCTATATACACCACACAAAAAATTCCCACCTCTCCCCCTTTATACCCTATATATTCTGCTTACAATCGGCAAATCTTCAAACATATATGTTGCCGGTACATAGGCAGATATTTTCGACCAATAATCTTTCATAATTCTGCCAAAAGCCCCATTCAAACTTGGTCGCAGGATTTCAAAAATCCCTGGTTCATTTTGATTTAATATTTGATTGGCTTTATCTTCGGCGGCACGATTATCCAGCGATAGGCGCAGTCCATTAATGTCACGTAAATTCAAATGTAAACGTTCCACATCGGTGAAGAGAAGATTTCGCTCCTCGCGCACAATGAAACGTATACTGATGTCGACAAGAGATTTTTCTGAAATGAAAAACAATTATTATTTAAAGAGGGTATACTGTAGGGTATTTTGAAATATATACATTAAAATTTACAGGGTATGTATATTAAGTTCGTCGGGGTCGGGTTGTACGCATTTCAAATGAGCTGTTGTTGATTGCTTCTGTTTTGCCATTAGCATTGAAATTCTAATCAAGCACAGCTAGGCAGCTGCTGATCTTCAGGCTTGGCTAATTAAGTTAGGCAGAGCTTAGATTTCAGGGGAATATTTTATTTGTGTGGAAATCTTTAGAAACTAACAGAATGAGTAAGGCATGCACAGACTCTTTTTCGAAAAACAATAAGGAGTGAATCTTTTTTGAAAAATATTTTTAGGGGGCCCAAACAAGGCTTGGATTTTTCAGAAAACATTTTTAAGGGGTTTTTTATCCTGGAAAAAAAGGGGGTTTATCCTGGAAAAAAACACGAAAAACACCTCGACACATTCCACCTATTCGTCGACTATAAAGCCGCATTCGATAGCCCCATCCGTTTAGAGGTGTATAAAATCATGTCTGCGTTTGGCATTCCTGCAAAATTAATTCGGCCATGTAGGATAACTTTAACTGGCCCAACATCAACAGATAAGTCGGAAAGAACCCCTCCTTTAATGCCAAACGAGGATTCAGACAAGGTGATAGTTTGTCGAGTGACCTTTTTAACATCCTGCTGGAAAAGGTCATACGAGAGGCAAACGTGCACAAAGATTGTACTCAGCATATGTTACTCGCCTACGCTTATGACATCGACATAATGGGTGGAACATTGAGTGTGGTAACAGCCACCTTTGAACAAATTGAGAAGGAGTCGTAAAAGGATAGTGATGGCCAACCGATGCTACTATTGGTCTGAGCAAACAACTCAAAGGCAAGATCACCTCCCGCCAGACCAAACTCACACTCTACAAGACGCTGATACTACCCGTGCTGTTATATGGATCTGAAGCATGGGTACTTACGCAAGCAGATGAGGCAGCTCTTGGAGCGTTTGAGAGAAAAATTCTCCGAAAGATCTATGGGCCGATCTGCATTGACGGTGAATATCGCCGTCGAATGAACCATGAATTGTACCAGCTATTCTCGGACATCGACATTGTTAGACGTATTGAGCTTCAGCGACTACATTGGCTAGGTCATATTGTGAGAATGGATGAAGATGCCCCAGACCAGAAGGCATATAAAAGCGAACCAGCTGATAGTTCACGCAGAAGGGAAAGGCCACGAATACGAAGGAAGGATCAAGTCGAAGACAACATAGCCAAAAGACCGACGCGCCTGGAAATCTTTTCTAAGCTCGGCTTATGGAACGAAAGTTCTGTCACAAGTCAGCTAAGTAAGTAAGGGGTCTATTATAAGGCGTGGATTTTTTTAAACATATTTTAAGGGTCTGCAATGAGTCGTGGATTTTTTAAAAATTACTTTTAAGGGTCTGCTATGAGGCGTGAATTTTTTTAAAAATATTTTTAGGGGTCTGCTATGAGGCGTGGATTTTTTAAAAAATATTTTTAAGGGTCTGCCACAAGGCGTGGATTTTTTAAAAAATATTTTTAAGGGTCTGCCACAAGGCGTGGATTTTTTAAAAAATATTTTTAAGGGTCTGCCACAAGGCGTGGATTTTTTAAAAAATATTTTTAAGGGTCTGCCACAAGGCGTGGATTTTTTAAAAAATATTTTTAAGGGTCTGCCACAAGGCGTGGATTTTTTAAAAAATATTTTTAAGGGTCTGCCACAAGGCGTGGATTTTTTAAAAAATATTTTTAAGGGTCTGCCACAAGGCGTGGATTTTTTAAAAAATATTTTTAAGGGTCTGCTATGAGGCGTGGATTTTTTAAAAAATATTTTTAAGGCTCTGTTAAGGGTCTGTTATGAGGCGTGAATTAAAAAATATATATTTTTAAGGCTCTGTTAAGGGTCTGTTATGAGGCGTGAATTAAAAAAATATATATTTTTAAGGCTCTGTTAAGGGTCTGTTATGAGGCGTGAATTAAAAAAATATATATTTTTAAGGCTCTGTTAAGGGTCTGTTATGAGGCGTGGATTTTTAAAAAAATTATATTTTTAAGGCTCTGTTAAGGGTCTGTTATGAGGCGTGGATTTTTAAAAAAATTATATTTTTAAGGCTCTGTTAAGGGTCTGTTATGAGGCGTGGATTTTTAATAAAATTATATTTTTAAGGCTCTGTTAAGGGTCTGTTATGAGGCGTGAATTAAAAAAATATATATTTTTAAGGCTCTGTTAAGGGTCTGTTATGAGGCGTGGATTTTAAAAAAAAAGTTATATTTTTAAGGCTCTGTTAAGGGTCTGTTATGAGGCGTGGATTTTTTATAAATTATATTTTTAAGGCTCTGTTAAGGGTCTGTTATGAGGCGTGGATTTTTTATAAATTATATTTTTTAAGGCTTTGTTAAGGGTCTGTTATGAGGCGTGGATTTTTTATAAATTCTATTTCCAAGGCTCTGTTAAGGGTCTGTTATGAGGCGTGGATTTTTTATAAATTATATTTTTTAAGGCTCTGTTAAGGGTCTGTTATGAGGCGTGGATTAAAAAAAAATATTTTTAAGGCTCTGTTAAGGGTCTGTTATGAGACGTGGATTTAAAAAAAAAATATTTTTAAGGCTCTGTTATGAGGAGTGGATTTTTAAAAAATATTTTCAAGGGTCTGTTATGAGGCGTGGATTTTTAAAAAAATATTTTCAAGGGTCTGTTATGAGGCGTGGGTATTTAATGAAGATTTTGTCGACTTACCAACTGTTAGTGATGCTTTGCCAATACCATCCAATGGATATTCCAATAGATGGCCCGTTATATTATAATCTCCACTTATTACTATCTTTGGTACCAGAAATTTGGCCTGAAGACTCAGGGGTTTGGCTTTGAAGCTGTAAATTAAAAAAAATAAAATTTTTGATTTTCAAATATTTTTTATTTTTCCCCATTACCTTGCCTCTGTACATTGAGCCTCACTTATGCCCTCCACGGTAACATTTTCCATTTCCAAGTGAATGCCAATCGGACTCAAGGGATCACCATCGACAATAATCCTTTGAATTTCTAAGGGGTCGATGGCGTTGACTGTGCGTAGTCCAGGAACACCTAAAGAGGTGTGGTGTGAAATAAAAAATATCTTTGGAGGTTTATTTAGGATTTTTCTACTTACCATCCTTCCATTCCTTTAGCAAATTGCCCAGATTTTTCGATAGACAACTAGCGAAATTGGGTGCCGTAACACTACAGGGTTCCAAGAAGGCAGCTGGAATTAAAGGAGGCGGATACAGGGGGAATTAGCAAAGGAAACTAAATGATTTTTGAACATAGACATGAAAATCAGGGTGACCAATGGCAGACCCGTCTTGGATCTTCTATAGATCCCCAATTTTATGGCACAACCCCATATAATGAAGGATTTCTCCACACTCGTTTCAAACGATGTGACTGGCTAGCAAGAATTTTCAGCAGGTTGGAGGTCTCTATTTGGTTTAAACCTGTCAGGCAGGTATTTTTAGGCTTCTGTATTTGTCTTCAGATTCTCAGGAAATAAAAATCCTCTTCCTTGGGGATTTTAAATACAGATCCACCTCTTCCTTCAGAATTTCAAATACAGATCCACCTTTTATTAGCCTCACATTCCATATTTACCCTGCCCACTCAAAAAATACCTACGTTTCTCTGTCAGATATTTTTCAGCACCCACTGCGTATGCTCCGCACAACAACAAGGTCGCATAGATTATTCGCAACATTTTATTTGTATATATTTTTATTTGTTATTTCGAAATATTAAAACCACAAAATTAATTTAAATTTAAATCGACCGTTCCGCCGTGAGCTTCTGTGCGAACTGTTTAAACGAAGTTCTACTTTTGAAACTTGAACAAGAAAAGAATTAATTTGTAATCTGACAAAGCCAATCAAAATATACAAAAATTTAATATTAAAAAAATCAAAAACTAGTTTTTTTTCAGACCGTGAACAACATCCAATGGCGCCAGAATGAAAATAAAAGCAGATGTTATTTAGAAAAGAATTTCAAAACAATAAAGAGAATTTTGAATACCCTAAAAAATCCACGCCTTATTTTGGAGCCCAAAAATATCCTTTAAACCACTAAGGAAAGTTGTAAAGTCGGACTGGGCCGAGTGCAAATCGAATGATATATAGGGACATTGGTGCACCATTTACATTAAATCGGACGAAAATATATATGGGAGCTATATCTAAATCTGAACCGATTTTCACGAAACTTAGCACACATCATTCTAGACCTAAGTCATTACGCTGTGCCAAATTTCGTGCAAATCGAAAGACATATAGGTACATTGGTGCACCATTTACATAAAATCGGACGAAAATATATATGGGAGCTATATCTAAATCTGAACCGATTTTCAGGAAACTTTGCACACATCAGTCTAGACTCAATTCAGTACGCTATGCCAAATGTCGTGCAAATCGAATGATATATAGGGACATTGGTGCACCATTTACATAAAATCGGACGAAAATTTATATGGGAGTTATATCGAAATCTGAACCGATTTTCAGGAAACTTAAGACACATCATTCTAGGCCTACTTTATTACGCTGTGTCAAATTTCGTGCAAATCGAAAGATATTTAGAGACTTTGGTGCACCATGTACATTAAATCGGATGAAAATATATATGGGAGCTATATCTAAATCTGAACCGATTTTCGGGAAACTTAACACACATCATTCTGAAACCACTTCAGTACCCTATACAAAATTTCGAGCAAATCGCAAGATATATAGGGACTTTGGTGCACCATTTACCTTAAATCGGACGAAAATATATATGGAAGCTATATCTAAATCTGAACCGATTTTTTCCAATTTCCACGCCTTGTCTGAGACCCCTAAAAATATTGTTTAAAAATCCACGCCTTGTTTGAGACCCCTAAAAATATTGTGTAAAAAATCCACGCCTTGTTTGAGACCCCTAAAAATATTGTGTAAAAAATCCACGCCTTGCTTGAGACCCCCAAAATGTTGTTTAAAAATCCAAGCCTTGTTTGAGACCCCTAAAAATATTGTTTAAAAATCCACGCCTTGTCTGAGACCCCTAAAGCATTGTTTAAAAAATCCACGCCTTGTCTGAGACCCCTAAAGCATTGTTTAAAAAATCCACGCCTTGTTTGAGACCCCTAAAAATATTGTTTAAAAATCCACGCCTTGTCTGAGACCCCTAAAAATATTGTTTAAAAATCCACGCCTTGTCTGAGACCCCTAAAGCATTGTTTAAAAAATCCACGCCTTGTTTGAGACCCCTAAAAATATTGTTTAAAAATCCACGCCTTGTCTGAGACCCCTAAAAATATGGTTTAAAAATCCACGCCTTGTCTGAGACCCCTAAAAATATTGTTTAAAAATCCACGCCTTGTTTGAGACCCCTAAAAATATTGTTTAAAAATCCACGCCTTGTCTGAGACCCCTAAAAATATTGTTTAAAAATCCACGCCTTGTCTGAGACCCCTAAAAATATTGTTTAAAAATCCACGCCTTGTCTGAGACCCCTAAAAATGTTTTTTTTTTTTAATTCATGCCGTGTATGGGACCTTGAGATGTTGTTGTCCGGCTGAGTGTAGGGTACCTCCAAATTTTTAGCATTGTTCTAATTTATTGACGCATTTCGTATCACAACAAAATACCATAAAATCTTGATCATCATCTTTTTTTATTTGAGCTGTTGGCTGCATAGCCCCCTCCAGCAACAACAACAACAAGTAAAGTGTGAATTGTCTTTTTAAACCGGTACCGGCAGTTCGCTTAGGTGCTGATTAATTGTCTAGCAAACCAACCGGAGATTCTGAATTTTGTTTATGGAAATAATTTCTTGTTACTTAACAAATTTGGAAGTGTCCAATTAATTAGCCATGGAATGCAGTTCGATGGGTTCGGAAAGGGATTTCCGAACATTGAGGATTTCGAAGTAAAAAAATAAAATAAAAAAAAAATATTCAAGGAATCCATAAGAGTGGGGATTTTTATATTTTTTTCAATCTCAAGAATAGGAATTAATAAATTTGAAATTTTTGCCCCCACCCCTTCTTGGCCCCCCTCTGCCATAATAAATTATAGTTGGTTTGTAAGTTCGGTCATAGAACTATCATAAATATGCCATAAAAAGTTCAATTTCTCATAAATATAATTTGATATTCCATTTTCCCAAAAAAATTCTCTAAGCAGCAGCAGGACGAACTTCGTAGTTTTTGGGGAAGGGTCGGGGGTTGAAAGTGTGTGTGTTGTGAAAAGTTCTATCCTCTTGCATTTATTTATTATGGCCAGGTTTGGTATTGTTTACTTTATTAGCTTTGATACCAAAAAAGGGCTTGGCCATCCTCCACCACCCCCTTATCTACCATGAAGGTGTGTT